TATTCATTAAATCTAGTATAATTCAGTATGCTATGGGTTGGATAAAGACCAGGTTGTACAATAAAGAAGCTAACATTAAATTAGAAAGCTGCAACACCCCAGAGTGACAGTATTCAAAATAAACACTTGTAATAGTAACTTTTGTTGCCAAAGACAGTCAAGTCAAAATTGTATAACACAGCTGTGATCTAACAAAAACCAAAGGAGCAATATGAACAGGTAGTACCTTCATTACTTACACTGCTCTTCTCCATGAGACTCTAGCATGTGAGAAAAGTGGCTTTTTGATATCCAGCATCATCAAATAACCTAGCTTCATGACAGCTGACGCCTAGGTCACAGACCTCTGATCACATGCATTTGCAAGCACCTTTTTCATTCCTGGGATTTCTTGGGGCCGGATAAACTAGCTAGTTTCCACCAAGCTGAACTGCCATTTCTGGGGCTAGTTGACTCCAGAGACAACTGGGACAGCTGGACAACTGCCCATGGAGCAGCATGGAAGAGGCCGTGCCAGGCTGGTCTCACTCAGCCCCGCAACCAGCTCCACACCAGCAAGCGTGGCACAGCCAAGCACCTCCACACCCTCAGGCGACACTCAGGACCCGTAACACACACCTCCGTTGCCATAAAAAACACTGCTGTGCTGGTCTCTGACGCAGCCCGCACATTAATATGGACACTTCAGACGGAAAAGTTAGAAAAAATATAATGATTCAGTCCTAGGGCCAATGGATGCCACAAGGTGGCAAGGTGATATAGTGTAAATGTAACTTTTGCCCTGTGCAAAAGGGCTTTTTGCAATATCACCTCCCATACCTGCTCCATTGTAAATAAATATTTTTATCATTTGCCTTGTATAATTTTAGTTCACCCGTTTTTCATCAGCCAGTCATCTGCCTCTGCTATAACTGTTAGCGATCAGTTGTCATTACATTTCTAGAGAATTTTTGCCCACATGCTGATTAGACCTGCATCCAATGTCCCAAGTTTTCATATTTTGTCTGGACAAGGCACTACAAATACCTATTACATATAACTGTGCCTGGAACACTATAAGTTATGATCTTTCATGTGAAGTCATTGGGATACACCCTGTGATTCACCTGCCATGTGCTCATGCAATCTACGCTATTCTTATATTTATGCTCAAACTAAGCTAGCTGTTATACCAACTAAATTATTCATAGATCTGCATTCATCTCAAAGCTTAATTATCATGGCTAATGATCAAAACTTGGAAGTTAAATGCTCCCATGATGACACAGCCCCAGACAGAATTTCTATCTGTATAACATCAAAGAAATCTCTATCTGTACATGAATCCAATACTTCAGGTCTAAAACAGACCCTCTTGGTTCAGTAAAATTTCTCTTACAGTTCATCTCCAAAGTGATTTAACTGAAGTAGATTGCACTACCTTTGCTGTTCCTTCTTACATATTTACAGGTTAACACATTCTTCTTGCTGTTTCCACCTTTCTGAACAACTCATGATCTTTACTGCCTGTCTTCAGGAATGGTGGCTGGTGAGACATATTTCTTTTATCCAACTTCCCGTGCTGCAACAGATGAATGAATTCTTCTATTTTGTTGTCCAAGCTCACGCAGTCGGCATCAAAATATCTCAGTTATCTCTTTGTCAACTCATCCAGGTATTGAAGTGCCTTTTCTCCCTCACTGTAACACCTGCCTCGCCCTGGCTTTCCACAATAACATTAAGTTCTTTTTCCTTTCTGTCCAGTCTCTGAATATTTCTTCTAGGATACTTTCTTCCAAAAAGACTCTAGTTTACACCTATCAAAACCATTTGTGCGAATGGAATCAGTAAATGAAGAGAATCAGGGAATTTGCTTCAGAATTGCATGTTTGCTCCAAGCCGAAGCAAAAATGTACACACAGAGAATTTTAAAGCAAATTGTTAGCACAGTCTGTATCACTCAAGACAATCACAGCTGCATGGCTATGCAGCCTCTGCATTCAATCAGGGCTGTATTTGGTCAGTTAATAAGACACATTTTCTATCTTCTGCCACCTCACCTCACCCTTTCTTTCCCAACTCTAAGGTCCCAAAAGACTGCAGTTCCAAAGAGTTTCTTTATAGTTACTGTCTCCCTGACTGAGTCCTCACCTTTCATTTCACCTCATCATAGAAGCTAGCTCCATCAACACAGTGGGCAAAAATTCTCTTCATTCTAATGAAGTTTAATAGGTCTCATCCACTGTTTTTGTAAAGACCATTCAGAAAAAATTCTGAGGAGGAAGAACCTCTCAGTTTTGGGAAGCAATGAGTCTCTGGCATCTGCGGATATGGAAGGAAAACAGTTGTCACTGTAGCTCCCATTCCATTTTGTGTTACTCTTTTATCAGGAAATTTGCCATCGTCACACTTTACATGCAAGTAAGGTGCATAAATTGGGTGTGTTATCAGGAAAAGAATGAAGATGAGGTAAGAGTCCTGCCAGTGGAAATTTCTCAACACCGGTTTCCTGTATAACAGTCAGGTGTTTCATAAATAGAACTTCATTCCATGCGATAATATAATATTAATCTGTCACCATATTTGGCACAACCATATGATCTTGAACTACTTGTTTGCTAATTACAGTTTGAGCTCATGCACGGAGTACAGGCTGTGATAGTATTAGCTTGGTCAGAGTGGCAGGTCTGTCAGTGCCAGCAACAATTCAGTGTCTGTTTCCAATCTCTGAAAGTGTCATATATGCATCTTTCCATCCCCAGGATGTAAAAACTTGTGCTCTTTCTCTTAATATGAATTATTTGTCTTGTCACTCGGAGCCCTAAAGGAAAATCACGTGGCAGTTTCTGTTAGCCGGTCATTTGAGAAAAAGCTTCCTAAAAGAGAAGTCAACGTATATCAGGCGTGTTTAAGTAATATTTATTAATATTTATTAATTTTTTTTTAAAGCTTGAAAAGTTCTTCTTTTTAAAAATAAATCAACAAATAACAAAAAAAAAAGGGTAGCAGGAGGTCCAGGGACATAGTTACAAAGACAATATTCCTGCTAATAGCCTTCTCAAGCAAACAAAGGGAAAATGATGTAGATATGATTCTTATAACTGTTACAGTTGCACAAATAGCTCTGAGCATTGTCAGTGACACTAACCAATCTTCCATCAGTTTCTCCCTGTTGCTTCTTACAAAAGCTCTGATTAGCTGCAGAGGTACTAGACCAGTCTGTCGGCAGGTTCAGGGAGACGGAGCTAATTAAATATATTCAGCTCACACAATGAAGACTGTCTTAGAGTAATATAGACTTAAGTTTTTCATTACTCAAATCAGCAAGTCTGTAGGAACTGATGATTTAAGTCCTTTTATTCAATAGATGAGCCTTCAGAATCTGAAAGTTTCTGACTTTATTAGAACTCTATAGTAGTGAAATAGTAGTACCATGTCCTTCAGTCTTTGTTGCATTTCCATTTCACGCTGCTATTAAAGACAGCGGAAGTTTAGACAAAGTAGGAGATGGGACCTGTGCCTGTGTTATAAAATCAGCTCTTAGCAGTTTAACCGAAATTGCAAAAAAATTGGTTTCAATTTTTCAAATTTATAAAAAACTGAAAGTAATTTTCTCCTAGCCAAAATCTTCTAATCCTCTTTAGAAGGATTAAAATGTAAAGTTTTATAGCAATACAAAGTAGATCTATAGGTGGTCTTTTATACCTCTCTTATTCAGTCCTGTGGCTGATAAATGAATCATTACCTGTTTCATATTATTGAGCAAGGCTGTGTCCTCACAGGCATTCAGTGCAAAATATTTCCTTAGCAAGTGAAGACTTTCAGTAAACTAATCTTACTTGTATCAACCATTACAGGTGTGGTATGATTCCTGCATCTGAAGATGCTGATCACCAGTCATGTAGTAGAAAGCATCTGAACTGTATAGGCTGAGCGGATAATGATAATATTTCCTCTTTGATATCTGCCTTTACACAATGGGATCCAGTTCAACCAACATTTACCTGTGTGCCTTATCACTAAGAGCAGTCCAATTGCAATCCACAGAATTACTCCACAAAGCAGTAAGGTCAGCAGGTATATCAAAGTATGCAGGATCAGGATTTAGGAAAGATCAGTTAATTGGAAATCTGAGCAACTGACTGGAAAGATGTGTACTGAGTTCTTGAGATAAGGGCCCATGTTTTTAAATACCAAAGTGGAAAAGAACAAAGTTAAATCATTTTTTAGGAAATACTGAGGACATGTGATATATAATAAAAAACCATAGAGATGTCAATATTTGCTGACTACTCGTATGAAATTAACACCAAAATCCCACTTGTATATTTTGATTATTAGCTGAGCATTGAGCATCCTTGTACTCTGAGGGTGATTAATAGAAGTGAACTAGCTTTGGTAGTTTGCTGTTATGTAGTAAACATTTGTCAAAGTTATCTGGGTAAATGCTGACATATTCATGAATACCAGAAATATGCAAATTTAACATTTCATTTCAGAGAAGTCCATCACAACTGTGAGAGTAATGCTTAGCCATCAAATGTGGAAAGTAATCTTTCTGGAAGTATATGTAACTGTCTCAAGAAGGAAAATTATTGTACCATTTCTCTCTAAAATATTTGGGGGGGGTGGTCTTTGGAAATTATATAAATAAGTTAAGGCAGGCAATAGGCAACTTATAATTTGCCCCACCAGCATGTTCTGAGTAAATCAGTCTAGATCTAATTGTCCTTGATTCTAAGCCTAATGGTCCTTGAAGCTATTATAAACTGCTATATTTTCACACAAATGAACTGCTCAGGAAGAATTTGTCAGCTGTGTTAGGTACAGGTTTTGTTCTACATCAGCCGCATCTTTGCTCAAGGTTTTTTCAATAAGACTTTTGTAGCTGTAAAAAATAAAATACCATTCTTGAGTTCTGTTGTCACATCTTTTTTACAATATTTCATCAGATTAAATCAGTGCACGTCTGTTTTTGTTTTGTGGGTGCTAGAGGTGTGTAAAATGGCAGTGATAGTGACATGGTCCTGGAAAGGTAAGAGCTTTTGCCGTTCCTAAAACCCATGGCAGCTGTCAGTTGCACAAGTTACTCTGTGTATAAACTATTGTTGCAAAGCAGAGAAGAGGTTCAAAAAGCCATTTAAAGGGTTTTAAATCATACATTGTAATCTTTGCAATTAGCACATACACCTGTGCTAACTTAGTGCACAGAGCATGAGTATGATATTGAGACTTGTAACAGGTGATTTAGGATCCACTGTACCTGGAAAAAGGCTTTTTTCCAAGTTAGAAAAGACATACTACAGGCAATTATTGAAAACACATAGATTTTCTAATTCTCCTATATGCAATAAGAACTGAGATAATGTAATTGTTATTCTTAGATTTTCCTTATTTTACTTAATTTTTATGCCATATGCCCCTTTATTGAAGGTGGCCCTCTGCCTTTACACAGATAACACTGCACTTAGGCTGTTTGCTTCAGTGAAGCTAATGAGTCTATCAGCACAAGCAAGGCCTGTAGAATTAGCCGTATTAGTGCACTATTCAAATGCTTTGCATTGATAGGAAATGTACCTTGAGTACCCAACTGCTCTGTTCCCTTTTCCAAATATCCCATCTCTCTGCAATAGAATCAAAAAAATCGGTTTCAGTTGGAAAGAACCTTTGGAGACCATCTGGTCCAACCCTCCCACTCAGAGCAGGGCCAGCTTGCAGGAGGTTTCCAAGGAAAGCCATTGTGAAAAGTGACCAGCAAGGTGCCAAGTCATGCCATCGCTATGCTCCTTCAGCTGTACCAGAGGAAATTCCCTGCGGTTGCCGGACTACAGCACTGGGAAGCCAGGTCCCACTCAAGTTTTGTGTTTAGAGCTACACTCAGTCCAGTCCTATGAGATGACATCCGTGCATATTCTCAGCCCATCGTTTTTCTCAGCTAATGGCTCAGTGAGGAGAGCCCATGCTAGTGAATATTCACAGTAGGGGTGCACTTGTGGGTTTGTATTTTTTCTGCCGTGAAATATTGCCACCTCTGGGGCACATCTTCCTTGAGCGGAAGCTCTGGTGCAGCTTTCCTTTCATCGTACCTCCCACCACAAGGCACACCATCTGGTTGGAAGAGGGGCAGATAACTTCTAAAGAGGCTGCTTTACAGTAACCACAAGACATATGTCCATAGCTCATATCCAAACACCCTCCTCTCTAGGCTGGTAGGACATGCAGGCAGAGGCCATGACTGAGCTCCAGAGCACAGCAGGGTGCAGCTGCAGGTCTTTTAGCATGTGCCCAAGTGCCGCGTCCTGCTCAAGGTGTGGGTGGCCTGGGCACCGATGGGGCTGCGCTTGCTCAGTCCCAGTCCACCACGGCTGCCCAGTCTGGGGATGCGATGGGACCAAGCCAGGGCGGTCGCCTTGCCCAGTGGCTGTTGTTTAGCAGTGGATGTAGTTTAGCTGCCCCAGGTGACAGAGCACATCTCTTCTGAAAAATCAAACTTGTCACTCCATTTTGTCCATTCTGCCAGAGTCATGGTGGCCCTGGGCACTGCCTGCAGCCCCACAGCAGGAGTGGTGTCCCTGGGGAGCAAGGTTCAAAGCACATTACTGCTCCTAAGAAATTAAGCTGAGCCTTTTACCAGGGGAGCTGTGTCATCCAGGCTGGTATCCTGCACCTGTGGTGAATGAGCACCTGAACATCCCTCCTTTTCCTCTGCCCCCCCAGCACCAGCTACCCTGACCAGAGCCGTCGTTTCAGTGTTGAATGCTGGCTAGGCCTGTGCAGATTGAATCTGCTTTTGTCTTGATGTTAACAGGATCGACGCTTTTGCCTGTTTGAGATGTCATTTGTTGATTCCTAAAGTAAAGGAGATCAGAGGTTGGCAACAATCTTGACAGCTTATTTTACCTTGCAGAACAATGTCATTACTTGTGTTTTTGAGGAGTACAAACCTTGTGCATAAGCACATATTTCAATTAAAGGGGTACTGACAACTTGCAGAAAAGATACCCTTGCTATTATCTATAGGTGTTACAAGCACTTAGATTGCTAGGAATGATAGTCAGGGTTTTGCTGGGTTTTTTCCCCTATTTTTCTCTGGTTTATCTGCACTGACCATTTGACAGTAATCAGGTGTTTCCTCTGAATAGCCAGCTTATTAATTATTTTTCTCTTTTTGTTTTGTTTTTTGTTTCTCTTTTCGTTTTGTTTAAGCCTTTCATATTACAGTGAAGAAATCTGTCTCACTGAGAAAATATAATTGTATTGGAACAAAAATTGGTCAGGAATTCAGGATATACCTTTTTTTTTTAAGAAAGAGCTGCCAAGTTGATGTTCTCTCTTAGGTTTTTATATTGAATATTTAATCGCAGCATATAATTGTGTGACTTGTTTTTAAGCCATCCAGCTTTGAAGCTGAGGATGAAAAAGTGTGTTGTTTTAATGATAAATGTGTAGGTTCTGACAAAAAATGAAAGTTGGTCTCATTATCCCATTGTTCTCCTTTTCTTTTTTTCTCCAAGCTGCCTGTCTCGTCCTGGGCTGTATGATTTTTCCTGATGGCTGGGATTCAGATGAGGTAAAACGGATGTGTGGTGAAAAGACAGACAAGTACACGCTGGGGGCTTGTTCAGTCCGCTGGGCATATATCCTGGCTATTATTGGAATCTTGGATGCCCTCATCCTCTCATTTCTGGCATTTGTGCTTGGCAACAGACAAGACAGCTTGCTAGCAGAGGAACTCAAGTTGGAAAACAAAGGTAGGACTGCTTTAGAAACACTATTATGGGGTGGCCTCAAGGGCAAATGCTTAAAAACAATGGTCTGTGTCATTTTATTTTACATGTGAAAGTTAGCATGCTGACATACTTTCTAAGTTGCTGGGGAAGAGGAAGTGCAAGCGGGACAGAGGAAGTTATGCTTTTCAATCTCCAAAGTCTAAGAAAGTTGGAAATTACCGTAATTGCTGCATTATGAAAGAACTAGCACGACTGCTTAATATTTTTTAAAATTGTAGCTGGGATGTTCTTGTGTTACCCCCTTGTACATTATTTCATCAGCATTTAATTTTCACTTTCTCCATCTTTAATCCATGCCCCGTACAAGGTTCGTTCCTTTGATTCCTTTAGGATTTTACATAGTAATATGAATGGCTGTGATAGTATTCATGATATGTATTAGTGCAATAGACAGCAAGGAGGGAGTGCCTGGCTTAGGAGATTAGTAATGAGCTATGTAACAGGTCAGACTTTACAGTGAGGCACCAGTGGACTAAGAGCAAGAATCAGAGGCAGGGATAAAGAAATTCCGTGTCTTGTTTTACTGTGTTGCTTTGAGCTAATTAGTCAGTTCACATGAATCTAGGACAGATTAATAACTGAATATTCATACAGTCATTTGGGAATAACATACAGTTCGAGATAACAAGCATGAAAACGTAAGAAATGCCCTACTGTCTCAGACCAGTAGTCTATCGCTCAGTTGCAAGAGGAGAGATGCTAGGTGGCAAGCGTGTGCAAGCATGGCCAGTTTGTGCAGTCCCTTTCGCTGGTGCTCCCCCAGCATTCACAATTGTATTTACTGTGATAGATATCACAGACGCTATATTCCCACTTCAACCTTTTAATGGACCTGTTGTCCCTGAATCTGTCTAATCCCTTCTGAACCAGCTGATACTGTCAGTTTGCACAGTGTCCTGTGGCAGCGACTTCCTGAAGTTCACTACTGACTGTTTTTTACTAGCTTTTATCTGTGTTAAACTGATCCCCTACCAGTTTCACCAGGTGTCACATAGATCTCGTAGTGCAGGAGTCTGTGTTTAGCTCATCTGCCACCTTTGTAAGTTTGTAGGTTGCTTCTAGTAATAACAAAGATATTAGGAGCCCTTCATCACTGGGTTGGAAGTCCAAAACAGTTTGGCAGCCTAAGTTATATGAAAATAGCTGGTCTCAGTCCTGCTCCAGAAGAACCATTATCCATATACCTGAAAGCATCAGCACACTGGTACCTGCTTGCTGAATTGCAGACAGTCAGCTCACTAAGGCTAAAGATAAACAGACCTGAAGGTTGAACTTTACACACAGCTGTAGACTTCCTTACAGCCTACTCCTGTTGTGAGTTAAGGAAAGTGTATGTTGCTTGCAATTGCCTGTATACACCTATTCTGCAGGGAAAACGAGGGCAACAGCTTCCAGGAAGGTCACTGCGGCCTTTTTCTGTGAGAATAATGTTCTTCTACTTTTGAAAATTAAATACATATCAGAAGGGCATTCATAGCTATGCCACAAGTGCTTGCTGCATTAGCATCCTGTTTAACTGCTCTGTGCCATACAGATCTCATGAACCCTACAGCTCAAGCACCCTCATCCATTTTGGCACCTTGTGGGCAAAAAACAGCTTCTGAAGACTCATCACCTCTCACATCACTGGCACAAGCTTCTGCCAGGACATGTGGTCCTCAAGGTATCTGACAAAGACCATTCAGCAGCTCATTTGAGCTTGGAATAATCCCAGCAATGTAGCACAATACCAGGTTCAAAGCAAACCAGAACTCAGCAGAAAGGGACCTCCCTCCACAGTCAACTCTAATATCAACCACTTGTTAAACGATCCTTCAAAAAAAAGGAAAAAAGACCATTTGCCTTCCAAAAAAAAAAAAGATGTCTTCTTTTCGTCCAAAAAAGCTTCTGCTGAACAAGGACAGGCTGAGCCTAAACCCTCCTGCCACCTCCTGGTATTCCCCCGCCAGCTTGTGCTGCTGCAGGGCATGGCCACGTGCCAGAGGCACCACGGGACAGCCAAGGAGCGGGGTTGTGGGGCACCTGGCCATGATTTGAACATGCGGGAGGTATCGGTGCCAGTGGGCCGAGTGGCTCTGCATTTCCCAGCAGGGAGGTCCCACCTGGCAGCGCTGCTCCTGTCGACATCCCCGCAGGCGCACCGGTCCTGCTGGCATGCGTGGGGCTGCAGGCTGGCACCTCTGCGGGTTTTCATTCTTACCCCTTTGCCTACACTTCCTTAGCCCCTTTCAGATTAAGTGACTCTGGAGAAAAGAAATCACCAGCATTCACCCCCTAGTCCACATGCAAAGGACCCATGCATCTCTTGGAAGTGACTAGGATGCCAAAATGTTAAATGTGCAAATATCACCAAGTTGTCTCCTAAATACATTGAAAATAAGACTAAGAATATAAACACGCACACACCCCACCTAGGTCTCACCCAGTATTGTTGTTAGTATGACATCAGAGCCCTCATAATAAGGCAATGGGTTAGAAGCAGCCTTGATTTCTAAACACCCTCCATACTTTCTTTCCCCTGCTCATCTACAGGTGCTCTGTTCCAGGGCTTGTACTGGCTCAGGCTTCTGGATTAGCTGGGCTGGATTAGGAGCATCCCTTCTCAAGGAGGACTGCCTGGGCTGCATCTGTCCTCCAAGGGATAGAAGATCTGGACAGGCGGTCAAGGGAGCCCTTGTGAGGGGCTGCTCTTTGCCTGGGGACCCAGGGATGCCTGCCCTTTGTTGGAGGCAATGTCCTCTGGTCACAGGCCTGGACATCCTGTAGGTGGGTGATAAGCAAGTTACTGTCTTAACAGAGAGTCATGCAATCCATTGTGGGTTTTTGGGAGAGTATCTGGGGAGCAACCTACACTGACCTCATAGGTGCTCTAGAGCACATGTTGAAGACCTGCATATGCTGGAGGTCCTTCTGCTCTCTGCTACCCTTGGGCATTTCAGGTGGGCTCCCTGACCGGGCAGTGCCCGGAGTCCTGCAGCATGGTCCTGAACCTACACTGTGCTGCTAATGGGCAGATTTGGCCTACAGGCTGCCACCGATGGCTGTTAGAGGATAGCATAGACAGAAAGTGTGCTGAGCACGTTGTCAGCCTGCTGACCGTGCACTGCAGCTGCACGGGCTGGATCAGCAGACGGCCTTTACGGGTGAGAAACCTCCTCGTGCCCTCTCTGCTCTTCCCTTGCTGCAAAGGGGATGCCCCATGTGTGTAAATACTGTTATGCAGCTGCTCAGCAGAGGGGAAGAGACTGTAAATTAAGTGTGAGAGTAATAACAGTCTTCATTTATGTGGAAAAATCTTCAAGAAAATAAATTATTAGGGAATGCTCGACAGCTGCACGGCTGTTTGTAATCAGGTGATAGCTCTGACCTGAGGAGTCGTTGCAGATCAGCTCCTGCAGTCTCCGTAATGCGCGTCTGCGGTGACGGTGCTGATAGTCTGTGTGAGCACCTCCTGCCATGGCTGTTTCTGAAGGCTGTGAGGAGTAAAGGCTTGAAAGTATACAAAATTTAACAGGATGGTAAAATGTGGTAAGAAAATGGCAGAAAAAGAACAAGCTGTACTTCTAGATAGACTTAACATGCTGAACTGTCCACCTGCTCTGTGCTTTTGAATACTACAGGTCTATATATTTACATAGGTTAATGAATGCTTGTAAGTAAGGAATTTGACTGTTAAAATTATTCATGGGAGAGGAAAGGCATATTTTTGCCATACAAGACAGTTTCACTTTTCACTCTTGGATAGTGAAAAACAGTTCTTAGCCATTTCTTATTTGCTTAGGTTAAAGATAAAACTACCATGGTAGTGTCACGTCTGAGAAATGTAAGACAAGTTTAGCACACTTTTTTCAGGGTATCGTCTACTTAATGCAATTTCCTAATCATGCGAAATTTACTCAACAATTTTCATTTTAAAAACCACCTTTTAAAGGAAAGGGACACCTCTAAAAAGACTTTTTTGTTATATTTATGCTATTAGCAAAAAGAGGGGAGAGAACAGTGTTGTGTAGTTGGCTTTAATTCATAGGAACTAATAGTAATGACTTAAAGGCCTGCATGTTATTAAACTAATGGCATTCAGGATGATAACAAAAATTGTCAGAATTCATCTTAGCCTTAAGCTTCATCGACACCATTGTGAGCGAGCTGCCAACATCAGGCCTAAACCTTGATATGCAACAACATAACTTAACATTTTGAACCATAATGCCTTAATGATATAAAATTAAAGTTCTGGCCAAAGGGCGAAGGCATGAAATGAGATGTTTCCAAAAGAAATTGAGAGTATAAGGCAATTGCTTTTATGGTAGAAGGTGGTAATATAGTCCGCGTTACAAGTCATAAATATATGAGCATTCAGAAGGAATTCTCTTATTCAAGTAATATCAGTCAGACCAGGTGTGTGATGCACTTTCTTTGTGGACAGCTGTATCCTTTCTGATGGATAGAACAGCTTCACAAAGCATTTATGTTTAACATTTGACTCATCTTTTGGCACCAGATGGTCACGATAAGCAATTTGCACTAAAGGTTTTTCAGAGTTAGAAGCCTGGAGCTGAAATAGATAAAAGGATGAGAGAGCTGGATAGGAGTTTTGAAGGATTCATCTACCTGCAATGATTGCAACTCACACAGACTGTGACGACACTAAATTTGCTCCCAATAGCCAGACTGCAGGGAGTTCAGTGCACGGTGCCCAGCTGAGCGCTTTCCCGCTTTGTCGACGTTTACACCCTCATTATTCTCCATATTGTGTTATCAGTGCCTGACCTGCGTTTTTAAGGTCACAGTCACCGTAGAATAAACATACTTGAAGGAAGAACTAAGGGGAAGTTGCTTCTTGGTGACAAAGCAGTTTTCTGTAAAAGGAAAAAGATTCTTGCACGGAGATTTATGCACTGTTGGCAAGAGAATTATCTTCTGTAAACAAGAATATGCTACCCACATGATTTCTGCTGCCA